TCTAATCTTGTCTTCTCACTTTATTTCATTGAGTTGATCTTCAGTCTCTGATATCCTTTCTTCCACTTGATCAATTTGGCTATTGATACTTGTGTGTGCTTCATGAAGTTCTCAGGCTGTGTTTTCCATCTCCATCTGGTCATTTATGTTCTTCTCTAAACTGGCTATTCTAGTTAGCAATTCCTCTAATCTTTTTTCAAGGTTCTTAGCATCCTTGCATTGGGTTAGAACATGCTCTTTTTGCTCAGAGGAGTTTGTTATTACCCACCTTCTGAAGCCTACTTCTGTCAATTCATCAAACTCACTCTCCATCTAGTTTAGTTCCCTTGCTGGCGAAGAGTTGTGATTCTTTGGAGGAAAAAAGGCATTTTGGGTTTTGTAGTTTTCAGCCTTTTTGCTCTGGTTTCTCCCCATTGTCATGGATTTATCTACCTTTGGTTTGATGTTGGTGACCTTTGAATGGGGTCTCTGAGCGAATGTCATTTTGTTGATGTTGATATTATTCCTTTCTCTTTGTTAGTTTTCCTTCTAACAGTCAGGCCCCCCTGTGCAGTTCTGCTGGAGTTTGTTGGAGGTCCACTCCAGCCCCTGCTAGTGTGGGTATCACCAGTGGAGGCTGCAGAACAGCAAAGATTGTTGCCTTTTGCTTCCTCTGGAAGCTTCATCCCAGTGGGGCACCCACCATATGTCAGCCAGAGCTCTCCTATATGAGGTATTTGTCAGCTCCTACTGGGAGGTGTCCCCAGTCAGGATACATGGGGGATGAGGGACCCAGTTGAAAAAGCAGTCTGACCCTTAGCATTGCTCAAACACTGTGCTGGGAGATCTGCTGCTCCCTTCAGAACTATCAGGCAGGGACGTTTACATCTGCTGAAGCTGCGCCCACCACCACCCCTTCCCCTGGGTGCTCTGTCCCAGAGAGATGGGGGTTTTATATCTAAGTCCCTGTATGGGACTGCTGACTTCCCCCCGCCCCCCAGAGAAGCCCTGCCCAGAGAGAAGGAATCTAGACAGGCAGTGCTGGCCACAGCAGCCTTGCTGAGCTTCGGTGGCCTCTGCTCAGTTCCAACTTCCCAGTGGCTTTGTTTATGCTGTGCTGAAAAAATGTGTAGTTTGAACATCCAGGCAGTGTTGTTTATGCTGTGAGAGTAAAATTGCCTACTCAAGCCTCAGCAGTGGTGGATGCCCGCCCCCCGCCCCCCCACCATGCTCGAGCATCTCAGGTCAACTGCAGGTGCTGTCAGTGAGAATTTCAAACCAGTGGGTGTTAGCTTGTTGGCTCCGCAGAAGTGGGACCCACTGAGCCAGATGACTTGGCTTCCTGGATTCAGCCCCCTTTCCAGGGGAGTTAATGGTTTTGTCTCATTAGTGTTCTGTGTACCACTATGGTATGAAAAAAAACAAAACAAAACTCCTGCAGCTAGGTTGGTGTCTGCCCAAACAGCCACCCAGTTTTGCTCTTGAAATCCAGGGCCCTGGTGGCATAGGCACCGGACGGAATCTCCTGGTCTGCCGGTTGTGAAGATGGTGGGAAAAGTGCAGTGTCTGGGCCAGAATGCACCCTTCCTCCTGTTATAGTCTCTCCCAGCTTCCCTTGCCTAGGGGAGAGAGATCCTTCAACCCCTTGTGCTTCCTGGGTGAGGCAACTTTCCACTCTGCTTCAGCTTGCCCTCCGCTGGCTGTGCTCACTGTCTAACCAGTGCCAGTGAGATGAACCAGACACCCCAGTTGGAAATGCAGAAATCACCTGCCTTCTGGGTCCATCTCTCTGGGAGCTGCAGACTGGAGCTGTTCCTATTTGGCCATCTTTCCAGCAGACCCTGAATGAGTATTACCTACACATCATTGTAAAGTTCAAAACTCCTAAGTTGAAACCATCCTAAGTTAGAGACCATCTGTATACATATACGTAATATACACAGACAGACACCCAAAACATATGTAGCACATCCGCCTATGTTATACATATATAATGCTTGTGTGTTTGCATGTATGGCACATATTTGTGCAGGTATACATATACATATATAGATGTGTATGTAATGACATGTATACATACATTTACAGATGTGCACATGTGACAAATGGTGAGAAATAAGGCTGGCCATAAAATAAGCCGAGATAGGAATGATAGGAATAATCTTCCTCTCCACTTGCTCGTCTTTCAGGAATTTATCACAGAAATAGCCATGTAAGTGAGACTGATGTGTCTGGCAAGAGAAAATGGCCCAGGGGGACTGACAGTATCTGACTGAGTGGGTTCAGGGAGAAATGGGTACCAGGAAGGAATGGCTATTGTTTGGGAGGCCCCAGTTCATCTTCAGGTCCTCTAGAGAGCTTCTAATAAAGTTGATTAGGACCTTGTGCTTTGTGAGAACTCCTGCAGACCCAAGATGTAAATTCCCTTATAGCAGAGACTGTGGAGGGGATTACCTTAAACCTTGAATTTCCAGGATGTAGCACTTGGTATGTTTGTTGGATGAATGAATGTATGAAGACTTGGTGTGTATGACTTAGAAATCTTGATTTGGGAGAATTGTCATCTCCCCTTGGAGTTACCCCAGGTCTCATCTTGCCAGCCTGCATATGTGAACCTTGTACAATCAACATAGGAGGAAATCAGCATAGAGGCTGTGATCGGCCCAGGAGGCAGGCAGCTGGCGTGTCCTGTCTCTGTTCTGTTTGATGTTTTGCAAAGCACTTGGGTGGTGATATGCCCACGTCTAGTGTGCTCTGCCTTAACTTTCACCTCCGTGAAATGCTTGGATTATAGCTAGAGTCAGATCAATGAAGTCACTGCTCTGCTCTGCCTAAGATCTTAAGATGGTGCATCCATGGCTGGGTACAGTGGCTCATGCCTGTAATGGGAGGATTGCTTGAGACTAGCAGTTCCAGACCAGTCTGGACAACATAGCAAGACCCCATCTGTATTTAAAAAAAAAAAAAAAAAAGCTGGTGCATCCTACCAGAATGGATGTTTTCAGCTTATGGAAGGAGCAGTGGCACTCATGCAGGAAATCTGCATGACCTTGAAATCAAACAGTCCCGGGTGAATTGCAGCTCTATCAATTTATGAGCTGTATGCAGAGCAGTAAATTAGGAAACTTGTTGGCCTCAGCTTTTTGGTCAGTTTGGAAGAGGGGTTAATTGGTCAGTAAAATGGGGAGAGGGGTTAACTGGCAAGACTGTAGGCATATTAGAAATCAGATGTAATGGACGGGTGCAGTGGCTCACGCCTGTAATCCAAGCACTTTTGGAGACCAAGGTGGGTGGATCACCTGATGTCAGGAGTTTAAGGCCAGCCTGGCCAACATGGTGAAATCCCATCTCTACTAAAAATTTAAAAATTAGCCAGGCGTCGTGGTGGGCACCTATAATCCCAGCTATTCTGGAGTCTGAGGAAGGAGAATTGCTTCAATCTTGGAGGTGGAGGTTGCAGTGAGCACAGATGGTGCACTGCATTCTAGTCTGGGCAACAGAGCGAGACTCCATCTCAAAAAAAAAAAAAAATCAGATGTAATGTTATAGCCTGCTTAGCACAGTGTGTGGCTCCAGATCATTCTCACAATGATGAAAATTATTCTCATGAACATAAAGCCTAGTCACCAAGAATCATTCTTTTGGTGGTTATTTATTAAGTGTACTGTGTGACAGGAGCAGTTCAAGGCACTGTGGCCACGTTGTGAAGAAGAGAGACAAATTTCATGGAGTTTCTATTATAGGGGGTAGGCAAAATAGATGGACACATAATGTATGCAATAAGTGTTGTGGAGAAAAAAAGGTGAATGGAAATGGGGTGACACCATGAAGGCAGGGATGACGTTTGAGCAGAGTAAAAATCAGGAAGAAGGGCATGCTGGTTTCTGGAAAGAAAGCATTTCAGCAGAGGAAACAGCAAATGCGCAGCCTTTGAGTGGGGAGTGTGCTTGGCATGTTTGAGGAACACAGGAAGACTAGAGTGGCTACTAGTGGATAAGCAGAAAGTGCTGGAACTTGAGATTAGAGAAGTGGCTGGAGCCTAAATTATAAGAGAACTATGGTTTTAAAAAAAAAAAACTAACTGAATTGAGAGGCTATATCAGTTAGCTTTTGCTGAGTAACAAATAATCCTGAAATGTAGTAGCTCAAAATACCAAACTTTTACTATCTTTTGCAGGGCTGTGGGTTAATTGCAGAGTTTCTTCTGAGTTGGCTCTGCTGGGGCTGGAGAGTCTGGGATGGCCTCATTCACATGTCTGTTAGCTGGGTGTTGGTTCTGGTAGCGACTAGATGTTTCATCCAGCAGGCTAGCTGTGGAGCCATTCTCGTGATGGAAGTTGCAGGGTTTTCAAGAGCAGTAAGAAAGGGCAAGCCCTGGTGCACAGCACGTTCCAAATTGGCCAAGGCCAGTCACATGGCTACAGTCGGAGGTCTTTTGCGATGGGTAATCCCCTCCAGGTGTAGATACTGAGAGGAGAATTCTGATGGTTGCGTTTGCAATGACAACATTGGAAAAGTGAAATTATTTGATTCATAGTTTCAAAGGTCCTTAGGATAATAAGGATTATGTACAGGAGACTATAACCAGATTGGAGGATGGGGCCAGGTTGTGGGCCACTGGATAGCTATGGTGCTTGAGCCACAGATGCAGAGGCACACAAGCTCTTGGTGGTGCCTGGCCTGAAGCTGCTGTTCTCGGGAGGAGGAACAATGATACACATCCTCCAGACCTTCCTGTTGTTTCAGCAGAAGCGTTCTCTCCATCTTTCCAGAGTGGGCTTTCTCATGTGCTTGCTGGAATGGGCTGGAAACCATGGTGTTCATGAGAACGGATATGCAGAGAAGAACCTCTGTATATCATCTTCCATTCTCAAACACAGAGATACTCTCTGCCCACTAAGTAGTTGGTAACTACAGGGGAGCTAAGCACTGAGGACTAACGTAACTCACTGTAAGTAATGACAAAACATCTTAAGGTGAAATTAAACAATAGCCAATTTTCTGGTTTCTTTCTTTCACAGAAAATATGATGCTGGCATGCTAATCGCGTGAGACGGCTTGGCCCACGGACAGCCACAAAGCACAAAAACAAAACACAAACTCAGAAGAGACAAGGATCGTGTTTTCCTGGCGTCTACGAGAAGCGCTTTATTTTTCCTCTAGATTTCTTTTTTAACAAAAACGGAAACATTTAAAAACACAGTACAAACTGCAGGTGATCATCTTCAAGCCTGTTCTTTTATTAAGCATAGGTTGGGAGGCACAGGCGGACGTTTAAGCAGAAAGCCAAGGCAAGACAACAGACTGACTGATGGAAGGAATCAATATTCCTTGCTCTCCAGAATATCCTGTGTGTTCTTGAGGACACACACCTCCCTGCCTGTCAAGGTATCTAAGGAATGCTTTGAAAAATTTATTTTCTATAGACTTTAAAGAATTTTTTTGTGTAGCACTGGCAAAGGAGTCTATGACACGTACTTTGCCCCCCAGGAGCTCTGCCACTCCATCTTGGTGTCACAGCCATCCTGCCCAGCTGGGGCAAGTTTCTGAGAGTTGTCTCCCCAGCAATTGCCAAGCTGGCTCAGTATGGCCAGGATGCAAGAAACAATTATCTGCTGGATCGATGCAGCAAGGAGCAGTAAACACTTGCTTTTTCTTCCCTAAGTAGGAGACAGCACGCCCCTGGCTGCAGTGGTGACCATGCTGGAAGCTGGGTGAGTCAAGGGGACCCCAGGATACTGTCTAATAGTAAGAAAGAGAAAATTGCTTGTGCTTCTCCAGGGAGATAAAGAACCAGAACCCACCCAGGTTACTTTCAAACAAGCAGGCCACCACCAGAACGCAAAGAAACCTATGCTGAGCCCCAGAAAAGCACCTTTACCCCTAAAATTCCCTGCTTCCCATTCGTACTTAACATTCTTCATGCGGTTGGGACTGCTCTGATTTCCTTTCCTCTTGCGGATCTCTGTTAGAGGGACACGGAAACCCCCTAAGGTTGGAAGGGGTCCAGCCTCGGCAGTTCCGTGGGCGCACACGCAGAGCGGGTCTGTGCGCCCATGGTCTCGGAGCTCCGCTTAGCCGGACTGGCTGCCAAGCCGTTCTTGGATCAGCCTCTCGCTGAGCGCCCACAGGGCCCGGGCCGTCTCTTCGCTCTGCGCTTCTGGCGAGGGCATGCAGCGGCAGCAGTTGTTGAAATACATGCCTCCCAGACCCTCCAGTTCTGGGGCGGCAGCACAATAGACGGTCGTGGCAGCTCCCTGTTGCTGGGAATCAAAGAAGAAAGACAAACATGTTTTAAGAAGAGGAGTCATGGGATGGCATCAGCAAATCTCCCCCACTTGGTGGTTTCAGCTGGATCTTGGCATAGCAAAGGCTACTGGGCTGAAAGCACATGACTGAAAAGTATACTGTGACTATCCTGGAAAAACGAGTTCATAAACTCCGCTTGTAAAGCTGGTGTGACTTTTGACACCTCGTATAGAACAGGCTTGGAAAATAAATACATGTCGTGGCAGGCGCCTCGTCTACACAGGAAGGAAAACGATATCCTTCTGATAGTGCAAGAGCACATTCATCCAACCCCTCGACGTCTCAATGTAGAATGTCACTTGATACCAACTTGTTTGTAGAACCTTCTGTCTGACAAACCAACCACTCTTAATTATGGCCCATCAGGTAGAAAACCCAAGTGGAGCTGGTGCCAGATCCTCCCTTTATGCTCTGCCCACAGTGCTGCTAGGGGAACGGTGGGCAAGGCTGTGTTAAAACATTTAATGCACACACCCACATACTCCCCAGCATACATGACTATCTAGCACATCTCTTAATTCATCCAGAACCTATGAAAACTACTTTTTCCTAAATGTTGTATTTGTCCCGGATCTCCAACGGGACCATGGCTAAGCGGTCCATTTCCTCCCCGCCCACTTCAAGATGTAAGTTGCAAAGAGTACAGTTGATCACTTTTGATTCACCTTTTGAGTAACAGTTGGGGCTAGGGCTAGGGATGTGTGCACTGATGGTGCATCATATCATCTGTACTGACAAAATACAGTCAGGGATGCTGTAAAGAGGGCAAGAAATCACTTTGCTTTGCAAGCCATAATTAAAAATAATAGGCTGCTGTTCAGAGGGAGACATGGTCGGCACGTCTCTAATTTAAAACCAATACAGTTTATCTGGCATCTTATGATTATTTATGTGTTTCACAGCCCTAGCTGCATCCACTAATTTTCAGCTCATAGGGAGCAGGGTTGCAAAAGAGGACCAGACAAGATGATAACGGAAGGTAAGGCAGCCCCCACCAGGAAGACGGTAAGGAACTTTGATTGCGGGGGAAACGGCTTTCCGACCTCACCCGAAGTTTATCACTTTTTTTTTTTTAACCTCTGCAGGGTTTTAACTCTGAGCATGCAGGGTGCTTAGGGGAGGACTTTCCCTCACATGGTTTGGTTTGCCATCACTATGCTTGTATTCTAGGGAGCCAGGGCCATTCTGAGAACCAGGGGCCCGTGGAAGGTGTTAACGATCTGAAGAAGGTGGATAAGGCAGACGTGGGTTTGCTGTTGCTTGCTTTTGGTTTCTTCAGTGTCAGGGTCTGTAGTTAATCTATGTTGGTCTGAAAATGGAATGGTCAAATGCAGTCAAGTGACATGACTCTGGCAGGGGTGTGGACAGTGCATGAGACGAGCACTTGGATTTCGAAAATAAGTGGCTGCTTGGTGATATCAGGGAAGTCCCAGTAACTAACTGATATGTCTTGAACTGACTTAAACAGTAACTGGTTACCGCCCCAGTCTCCTACCGTAACCACGCCCACTCCAAATAGCCAGATATTATCCTAGATTCAGCTAGTTCTTTTCCATTGATTTCTGTGGGTCAAGTCTAATGGAACAGAATTCGTGTCATCCAACTTTCCTTTCACTGAATTATGATTCCTCATAACCCTCGGCTTAGCAGCTGGCACATGTATCTAAACAACTTCAAGAGGCCCATCTGACTCTTCTGCATCCCATGTGGGGAAAAGGGAAGCAGGCGTGCCTCTAAAGACAAACTGGAGAATGGAGATGCTCATCCAGCTAATTCAAGCCAAATATCACCTGAACTGAGCTAAGAATTCAGACCGAGATAGTGCTTTGCATGAACATCCAGCTCTCTGTCACAGATTTCCATTTTATGCTGCCAAAACCACCAGAGTGGCCCAGTGCCCGCGTGGTGAGAGAATCCAGCCCACTAATTTCAGTCCAGCAACCCCCCACGCCCACGCCGCAATGACTATACTATTCAGTATTGAAACGTCATGACACAGTGGCCTTTCAGTGTTCTGGTAATCCTAACACCAAAGGAGTCCACTAGGGAAAGCACAAAGCAGAATTCTTCCTAAACTGAAAGAGTATTTTACCATTATAACCTTCCGAAATGATGCAGTGGGGTACTCTTGCATCATTGGAATGGTATTTTAGCAAAGAAATTCTTCAGTCTCATGGATTCCTAATGCAGTCGATGCGGGAGCTGGCGGGGGCGGGGGGGCTGCATTGTCCTTCCATGGACTCTGAAAGCAATTGCAGTTGGCCAGATTTCATGCAAACCTCTGTTCAGCTACACTGCTGAGAGCCGCACCTTTTTTCAGACGTGGCCTTTGCTTCCTTTGCCACTAGGCTTCGGGTGATCCACTCTCTACGTTACTTCGCAAGTGGCTCTGGCTTTGTAGAGGAACACAGTATACCGCAGGGACACTCGAAAACAAAGACTACCTTCTCGACTCCGAAAATCAATCGTGCACATTTGGCAAATTCTCCTTCTCAGATTCATGCTTGGTGCTCATGGGTACTCCACTTTCCTCCCTTGCTAGACAATCGAGCAGTAACAATACCCTGTTGTTGGTCCCATGCCCACCAGCTCTTTAGTTTCTTGGATAATTCTCTTTACAACTGTACCAATGGCAACCTCTGAGTGACATCTTTAGATGATCACATGTGACAACACGTTTTAATAACAAGTTCTCATGTCTGGCTCATCAGCTTCTCGGTCTGCATATCAGAACAAGACTGAGCCACATCAGTGAAAACTCAATAGTCAACAAGCCGGTACTGCTGATACAAGAGAAAACACTTTGAAAGAGCACTTTAATCACCAACTGATGACTTTCGTAACAGTTTTTGGGGCATCAGTTCATAATTCAGAAAAGACGAAAGAGCCATCTAAAGGAAATAATGTTAACAACTCCATTATAAAATATCTGAAGCAATGCCTTGCCAGCTGTCACCACTGCGATAAAATAATACCTTGACAGCCAAACACTGGCTGGAGCTAAGGGTTCCCCTAAATGATTTTTTTTTTTTTTTTTTTTTGGAGAACCATTTATCAGAAGCCTGTAGGTTGCTAATCATGGGAACTGGGGGAGGCGTCTCTATCCTGCAGCAGTGAGTTAGGGTGTTGGGGACACAGGACTGAGAATTTCTGGGAAGCCCAGTAGACTCTTTAATCATGCCCGAATGCCATTTCCGATCTAGTCAAACATTTGTGAGCTGCCAGAGGAGACCTGTGCAATCAATCTTGATAGCGTATGTAAAATTACCCGGGACTCTCGTTTGGGATTAAGTTAAGAGTATCTTAGTAATCAGGGTTCTTCGTTCTCTTTCAAACATCATTTGTCAGATTTGCAGCACAGTCTTCAACTACAGAAAGGTGGGATTTAGAAAGCAGTTGCTACTTACTCATAGTTGAGGCCCTCAGATCTAATTAGCCATCTTTACACAACTCTGTGTTGGGATGAAAATGTCAAGTACCTGCTTTTCATCAACACATTGGATAACTGCTAGCCATCAATTTATAGTTGTCAGCACGGAATACAAATGAATATTGACTCCTTTAAAGGAAAGGGTACCGAGGTTTCTGATAAACAATATATGGAAAAGAAAAAAACACCCACAGTGATACTTGTAATGCATTGGTAGTACTCTAATATAATACTCACGTTCTAACAGGGACACATGTTACATAACGTTTTGTTTTGGGGTTTTTCTATTTTTAAATGCATGCTTATTTAAAAGAAAGGCTAGATTCCTGTCTTAAAGTACACTTAACTATGCGATGTATACAAAACATCATGGCACCTCTATATATTCAATGACTGCGAGAGAGTAGGAGACGTTCTAAGATTGCTTTCTTACAGGGACATTGCACGGCAAATGCTGAATTAATCCATTTATGCAAAAAGTAGAGTTAGGAAAGGAACACACCTTGGAAGTTAGATTAGGCTGGGAACACGAAGGGCAGGGAAGGAGAACAGCTCTTTTGAAGGCGAGTGGTGTTTGCACGACTGAATTCCCAGGACTGAAGTGAGCAGGTTTGGCTGAAAGGAAAGACACACACCTCTTCAAACCCTTGCTCCCACTGTTACTCATCTGGTGTCTGTGGGGCAAGGCACACACTTCCCACATGCAAAGCCAGCCACCTTATCCAGTGACTATGTGCATACACCACGAGGAGCAGAATCATTATTTATCAGAGAGCTCTGGTGGAGATGAGGGGGTGAGACCTCATGTCATGGGAGTAATGGATGGCACTCGCCACACCCTCTCTGTCTTCCCCTGTCTCCCGGTAACACTCCCCAGGAGAGTCTATAACCACTCTACCAGAACTGTGCCATGCAGGGTTTCAGAGGTCAGCTCCAGCTACCTTGGTCCTGGGGACACAGCCATTCCTCACAGACAATTACAGCTTCAATCTCTGATTGGAAACAAATGAAAGCAGCCTGCTCCAAAAGGCCACGTGTTCCCTTGCGCACTGTCCAGAGGTGATCTTGCAGGGGACACATTTGCCACGCGTTCCATTTGTTCAGGAAGTAATGTACGGGAATGAGGCTCATGGGCCACCCTGGCGAGGTGACCACGCTAGTACGTCACCCTCTTCCACCGTGATACTTCTATAATTCAATTCCACAGCTCAATCTGGAATAAGTGCCAATCAGTAAACACGCCAACTTCCACCTAAGTGATGGGAGGCAGCAGAGGAGAACAGAACAGAGCTATCTACTCCAAAGGCTTCACCCCTGCACACTGCCTGGCTATTTCAGAGAGTTACAGCAAACGAGGACTATTCAGGTGGTAACAATGACTGGCATTTGTGGAGAGGTTACGATTTGCCAGGCTTTGTGCGGAGAGCTTTGGAAGCATTGTCGTCTAATGGTCACACAGGCCTATGAGCCAGGGACAATTACTATTCCCCTTTACAGAGAAGCCTAGAAGCCTACTTGGGATCATAGATGAAAAGCAATGGGTCCAAAGCCACACCGATCATGGTGTAGACTGAGTGAGTCCAGACTCCTTATCAGCTGGCACATGAAACCGGCTCCCCAGATCGGTGACACAAATATTTGCACATGGCCCTTTTCCTCATCTATGTCTCCCACGGGCCTCCGGCTTCCTACACCTCTCTGCCTGCTCTGCCGCCGCCTCAGCCAGGCCATGTCTGGCCACAAAGTGACACCGTGACGCAGCCTAAAATGAAACGTAGGGGCTGTCAGGTTTTTGCTTGAGAAATGTTAAAAGGGTATTTTTTTTTTTCCCCATTGCTGATTTAGTCAGGGAGCTAAATTGAAATGATACCCATTTGGATGAACAAAAATGAGGACTCAGCACCACCCTGGACGATCCAGAAGCAAGTGACCCCTTAAGAAAAAGGTCATCAGATTCAACGGGCCATCTCCAGATGCCAGATGTGCCCAACTAAGGAATCTACTCTTGGATGATAGAATTTTTTTCAAAGCATGGAGGTCCCAAACAAGTGAAATTGACATAATTCTCACCTTACCAGTTCCCACGCATGCACGTGCAGGCTCTGAGGTGCTTCATTGGGTTTGCAGAGAAAATACCGATCCATCCCGCTTACTCCCCCTCCCCCAATGCTTCCTAACAAAACCATCCCTACCAATTCCTGCAAACTGACTCCCACAAAGGCCTTGAACCATCCAGGCTTAGATACACGCAAATTCTTCCTGAAGGTATTGAAATGGCATCTTTCTTCCTAAGCCCTTGAGAGTTTTGCTAATTCACAGGCTGTTCTTAACACTTACGATATTAGAGAAATGCACTCAATTTTCCCAACAGAAAAAGAGATGATGATAGGAAAACCAATATTTGTTTTTAGACTTGAAGCCTATGAGAAGGTGTTCTGGAGAATCCACATACATCACATTCCGAATCTTAGCCCTCCAGAAGAGAACATGCCTGCTCTATCGAGACAGATGTGGACACTGTGTCTGGATATTGATCTTCTGCCATAAGAAAAACAGTTTCTTTGCTAGAAACAGGTTCACAAGGGTAGAAAAACTTCAGGCTCCTATTTGATTGCCTCTCCTATGACAGGTGAAGAGTATCACTCCCTAAGTGACACTGGGGACAGTGTCTGGGGGGGCTTGAAGGCAGTTGCTCTGAGAGAAAGTGACGTGCCAGTCCATTGTCATAAATGCAATTGGTTCACACATAGGCCACAACCTCAAATTTCACAGAACACCTTGACAGAAATGGGTGTGGGGGTGGGGAGAATGTCACGCACTTTCAAAGGACATCCATGTGTTCCACAGGCTTCTATTCACTGAGAACTTATGTGCAGTCCCGGGCTCGTTCCTGTTTGTGGTTCGGGCCTCCCAAAGAGGACGTCCCCAAATATGACGTCAGGCTAAAGGAAAGCATCATACAAAGGCCATGGCATTCTCCCTGACAAAAGATGTGAATTTCTAGCAAGATCACTAAGGAGTTTCAAGAGGTTGACTTGAAGACAAGGGTAGAATGAGTTGAAAAGTCAACAGGAATGGAGCTCTTACTCCTCTGAGAAATATTCGCAGGAAGGAGCCTGGAGACCAGCAGGTCCAGGATGGAAAGCTGGAAAGAATTCTTTCCTAAAACTGAAGTTCTGAGGAAGAATAGGCAGCCAGTCCCAAGCATCCAAAGACATCCAAAGCCATGTTTGTTCTGGGAAGGCCAAGGCATGGGAGGATGTTTGCTTGGACTAGCAGCAGGACTGAAGGGCAGGGTGACCTTGGTAGGCTGTCAGGGCCTGTGGTTCCAAGTTGACAGACTGTTCTGAGCTTTTCCATGAAATGAATGAAGCCCTTTTCATACCGCCTTTGTGTTCCAGAACTCTTGCCATTAGTGTTCCAAAGGATCTGTGACAGATTTATATCTAGTCTTAAAAGACCTGAGTTGTAACATTCAGAATTCTCTTATCTTTCTGAGACCCTAGACATGTGTTGTTGGGGTTGGGGTGAGGGTGCTCCCAATGATGGAAGGAAACAGAAATGGCTTAAGGGGAGTCCATGTGGGTGATTGCATGCACCCTGGTTCCCTCTTTCATTTGTGCTTGCCCAAACGGTTCTAGAACTGCCTAGACCTGAGAGGCTGTCTCATTACTACTAAGAGAAGGTATTGTTGACCATGTCCATATGCATGGAAGAATTCCCTGGGCATTCCATTCCCTTTGATACTGTCTGGAATACAACATTGCTCAAACTATAGTTGCTTTTTGAATGGGGATGAAAAATCACATTAGGGTATCCATTCTTCCATGGTTACTTTGAAATGGCCAAGCAGAAGTGCCATAGAAATCTGCCACCAAAATAAACATCTAACTGATGGTGTCATCCTTCTACATGGAACACATCTGATGGCATGTCACTGACATTTTCCAACTGAGCCACCTTGAGGCCTGTGCTGAAGGACTGCTGATGGTTTTATAAGAGATAAAAGAAGAGATTTTGTGTGTGTTTGAAACATTTTACATTTTGACTCTGTTTAACCTCTGTTATGGTTATGCCTAGCTTGTGTACTGTATATAAGTGTATGTATCTGTATTAGCCATGTATACTTAAATAAACCTTTGAAATTAATGAGCTCAGTTCTAATATAATACTGCAAAGAATATCTTCATAGTACAGGTGAAACCAACAGCTTTCCCCTTCCCTTCTTCTGAACAGAATGGCTCTACCCAGTCTGCCTGCCAAATTACGTCTTTTAAAAAACCAAGTAGCTATTTTGTGAGCAGGCAGGATGTCATGACACACCCCAAACAGTTTGTTTAGATTTTAAGGTTGACAGTTCATTTACACTTATACCCCATATGTACTCCACGACACGGTCCTGAAAGGCACTGAAGGAGGAGGGAGAAAAAAACCACACCGGGTCTCTTCTGGGGCCACATCATGGTAAGGAATTAACTCAACTCTGTCTTCCAGAAACAAATTAAGAGGATGTACTTTGGAATAATTCAGATCTCACAGGCAGGCCCCCGATGTCCAGACCCACGGTTTCAAACCGGGCATGTCTGCGTTAGGTGTGCGCATCTCCATCGAGAGTTCACTGGAACAGATCATTTCTCAGGCTCAAAGACGTTGGCCTGGTTAACATTTCATTTAGAACATACTGTGGCGAGCATCTCATTTATATTACTTCCATAATTAATGGCGATAGCTTAGGCACTGCCTTTACACAGAGAGATCTCTTCACAGTGGTCGATGGGTAATGAGAAACAATAGATATTTCATTCACCAGCAGCGTGTTGCTAGTTACTAGGAAATGATCGTGTGTGCTGTTGTTGCTTTAATTGCCCGGGTAAATAATTCTGCCTCGGTGTTAGCATTTTAAAGCACTTGATGCAAATAAACTAGAAACCAAACAAACAAAACAATTAACCTTGATTATGCAACACCTTAGCATAGAAAGTTACAAAGGTATGTCTTTTTTAAAGATTGCATTATATCATGCAAATATTATCTAAATATGCATGTGCTGACTACTCTTCTACTATATTTTAGGAAATACAATTAGGCTGCCTTTCTCTTCCCCTATGTAGACTGTAAATAACTGTAGATCTTTCTCTTGTTTCCCTATGTAAATATATGTAAATACTAACAAACTATGCATGCTGCTATTCTAGGCAATTTCAGGTACTTTTATAATATGAAGGCATGTACTTGAACTCGTTTGTTAAGGGGTGGGGGGCGGGAAATTCTCTCAAACTCTTTAATGCTGAATAGAAATTAAAGATTTCTTCCTAGACTGTTGTAGCTTCTTTTGTTTGCCTTGTCGTGCCTGAATGGAGGGCCCCGCTCCAGCTCTGACCTTCTCCCAAGAAAGACACACAACGTACACTGGCATGGAAACAGTAGCTGCACCACTTGACTTCAGCTTTTACAGACTTCCTTTGGGTTACCTAAAAGACAACTAGAATCACAAGGTGGCGTTCCTGGGATCCTTCCAGCAAAAGAATCTCGATGGAACATAATTCCTATTTGTTGTTCCTTTACGGTGTGCCTCACATCACAAAACACTATGGATGGTCCCGTCCTTCCCATCTTAACAATACAGAGGTCCATAATACAGTCAGGTCAAGACCAGTGACGAAAATGACAGAACTACTAAATGCCACCAAAGCCCTCATTCTCTCCTGTATATAGCTGGTTGGTAAACTGCTTCTGCAAAGGGCCTGATATTAAATAATTTAGGCTCTGTGGCCCATATATCTGGTACGATCACTCAACTCTGCTACTGTGAAAGCAGCCATGGACAACGTCTACACAAGTGAACGTGTCTGCTCCCCAATAAAACTTTATTTATAAAAGACAGGCAGCAGGCCAAATTTGGCTGATAGGCCACAGTTTGCCGATTTCTGCTGTACACACGATCAAGACTTTTTAAAGACTGGTAACATATCCCTTTTTAATCTGTGTGTTTGATGGACCATGGAAATGATCTGATCAAATGAAAATTCTCTTTCCTGCAAGTGTCATGAAATAAACAGGTGAGCAAAAATGAAATCACCTGAGCTTATAAATCAGGCTGCCTTCCTATGACAAATTACATTGCCAGGTTTCAATTTAGTTATCTTTTGTTTTCATAAATAGAAATGGAGGAAAAAAGTCCAAAAGACAAAACTTAAAAAAAAAAAAAAAAAAAAGAAACTGAGCAACATTCCCTCTTCAATGAGAGGAAGGAGGCTATTACCTCAGGTATCCATGGAAACCAAGCAGCGCATAAACTTTTTAATGGTTGGAAAACAGCATTTGTGTTTGAAGATGTTTTTCCCAAGTATGATGCTTCAGTGTAAATGCATTAATTGACAGTTTCCTTCGGGACTTTTTTATTGAAGTTTCCAAACTTAATTTGATGGCACAAGGGACTCTCTGGAGCCCTTGAAGAACGCTGCAAAGTTAGGTCTTTTTAGAAAACTGAGCCAGCTCAGGCATCGTGTACAAATCCAACTCTCTTGCAAAGCAAGTGAAGATACAGATCTTACTCCCTGTAAGTTTCCCATTAAAAAAAGAAAAAAAGAAACCCTCTCTGTTCAGCTAGGGAAGGGAGAGGCCCTTTCTAACCTCTATTGAGTGAGAATCAATATCTTCTCTTTGGTCCTGGAGGGAACTAAGAAGCAGCAGGAGGAAGAAAGATCCAGGTATTTTTGCAGATGGGGTGGCAATATGTGATGGTAGAAAAATCCCCTGTGCTGAAGCCAGAAATCCTTAAATTGGAATCCTGTCTTTCACACCTGTGACAAGCCACCGGGCCTCAGTCTCATCTGAAAAGTAGACATAATAATACATCCTTCATGTGGTTCTTAAAAGGATGAGTGATAACATTTGGCCATTTCCTGGGTACACAATGGATACTAGTTCAAAAGCAGCTACAACTCTGATCACAAGTTTAAAGAAGGAAGCATACAGATCGAAGTATAGATGAAGCCTGCACCTCCATTTAGTGAGCCTGCCATATAGAGACTCATCACCTGGCACCTCTCCATTAGCCAGATCACAGAGTCCAGGTACAATAGCATCACAGAGGCCCTTTCACCATTTCTGCATCTCCCTTCCAAACCATCCTGAGTTTTTCATGACTTGGTCCAGAAAGTGGGAGGCAGCAACAACAATGGCAGGGGTGAGGGCTGCGGGTTACTGAGGGAGGGTCTCCTAAGTGACAAGGACTTATCATTACTTCTGATTCTCACAATAGCCTCACTCCCCACCAGGCAGGTGTTATGTTAGCAGGCGTGAGACAGAGGCTAAAGGAGGCGAAGTAACTCACTGCCAAGCCAAGGGGCAGTGATAGAACACAGATTCCAACTGAGATCTTCATTCAAAACCCATATTCAGGTTTATGTCTTATATTCTCTCTGGTTCCACACTCTAAACTCTTTGTAGCACCCAGAATCATGCATACATTTGAAAATCTGGCCTGAGTTCTGAGAAGGGGATACCGATTTCCCATCTGGGTCATGTGATCCCTCTGGTGGCCAAGCCCTGTCCATAGACCATCAGGGACCTTTCTCCTCCTTTTTGAACTCCATTTCTAGGGCCTGAATCCCTGGCTTCCCACCAGGCCTCGGTGGAGTCTCGTGATTTTGGACAGTACAGACCAGAAGAGGTCTAAGTTACCTCCCCTGCAGTGTTCTCTTTTGCAAATTGCTCTTTGTGCTAAGAAGGTCCTGAAGGCTGGCAGGGCTCAGGTTAGGGGGCTTGGCATTTGTGGGTCATCTAGCAACACCCACTGGGGCAGTCTCATGACAAGCCAACTGCAGATGGAACTCTCTGCCCTCAAAGTTTAGAGAAATGATGAACTCATGACAATGGAATACACCAAAGAACATCTTACTCTTCTCCCCGTCCCCACCCTCTGGCTGCCACACCTTTTACAATTCATTCATCCTTTCAGAAATGCCTGGCAAAGGGAAAGCACACAAATGCACCCTGCTACCCATTGAGGTGTCAGCGAGGAACACAAGCCAGTTTTCTAACCAGCCTTCAAATTTTAAGGGGTTGACAATCTGTCCTCTGCCAGCACACCCTCTGGATCCCAAATCAGATGACTTCACAAGGCAGTCCTCTTCGTGTATGAATCCCATACAGTGGCCAAGATACCTTCTGTGGAACATTCTAGGTGGGGAATTTGAGCTTAGCTCTTTCAAGAGCCCTATGAAGTTACTACAACGTCATTGTATTAATAGGAAAAGTGAGGCTCAAGCAAGTCAGTAACTTCGTAACACAATTCTCATTGACTCAGTTTTGTGCCAGTCAATTCTGTGCCACCTGCCCGCCTCCTTCGAAGAGATTCATATCTTTAATGCTTTCTGTGAGGGTCCACCCTATGCATGACAGATCCTTTAGGAGGAATATTGCACACATTATCCCCAGTTAAAGACAGGGAAGGCCGGGCATGCGGGCATGGTGGCTCACACCTATAATCCCAGCACTTTGGGAGGCCAAGCCAGGTGGATCACTTGAGGTCAGGAGTTTGAGACCAGCCTGGCCAACAAGGTGAAACCGCGTCTCTACTACAAATACAAAAATTAGCCAGGCGTGCTCATGCATGTCTGTAGTCCTAGTTACTTGGGAGGCTGAGGCAGGAGGATCACTTGAAGCCAGGAGGCGGAGGTTGCAGTGAGCTGAGAAGACGACACTGCACTCCAGCTTGTATAATACAATGAGACTCCATCTCAAAAAAAAAGTAATAATAATAAAATAATAAAAAGTCCGGGCTGTAGGCCAAGGAGGCAAAGTATTTTGCCTAGGTCAAAGAGCAAGTGACAGAGTTAGGAGCTGAACCAAATCACACGGCTCCAGACACCCACTCTCAACAACGGCCCTATGATGAACAGGAACACATCCACAGCACAGGCAAAGCGGGCACGTAGCATACCTTCGGGGCAAGCCTTTGTGCTATCCTCATAGTGACCTTTCAACACAAAAATGGCCAACAGTTTTTGAGAGTTCCAGGTTCACATTAAGTATTTGATGGGTACTGTTTACAATATTGATGGTAATGTAATATTTCCATCTAACTGATGTGGAACCTAAACTCCAGAGAAGTTAAGCAGTCTGCCCAAGGTCACAAAGTTACCAAGTAGTGCTGGGGAAATTGAACCTGTGTCCTCTGCGCCCTTGAACCCACTGCTACTGAGCATCCTCAGCCACAGAAATCGGGCCCTCACGAAGACATCTGTCATTTATCCAGTGGTAGGATCAATACCTCTAGTTAGTTTGCTCCACCAAGGGGCACCTGAGACTCTTGGGTGTGATGTTAAAACTGCAGTGGAGGCCAGGGGTTCAACTGCCATGAAAAACGAATTCCAGGGTGATTCCATATGTTGGTTACTTCAACCTGTGAGCAGAGGATGCAGCCACACCCTCGAAGGAGCAAAAAAGGGACGGAAAGGGGGAGGATTTATTTTTACTTGTTTTTATTTTTACTATTTTCTGTTAACCTTTTTGTTGTTGTTGTTTTTAAACAGAGTCTCTCTCTGTCATGCAGGCTGGAGTGCAGTGGCACAATCTCGGCTCACTGCAACCTCTGCCTCCTGGGTTCAAGTGATTCTCCTGCCTCAGCCTCCTTAGTAGCTGGGATTACAGCACATGCTATTGTGCCCAGTGCGCGCGCGTGTGTGTGTGTGTGTGTGTTTTAAGTAGAGATGGGATTTTACCATGTGGGCTAGGCTGGTCTCGAACTCCTAACCTGAGATCACCCAACTCAGCCTCTCAGAGTGCTGGGATTACAGGCATGAGCACCACACACAGCGCATTTTCTAAAGCTGCTCTTGTTCCCCAAATTTTGGTAGATGACCAATTGATTTAAACTGTTATACACCTAAGGGCAGATTTATAACTCCCCCAGATTTCAGTTCTCCTTAACCCCTCTGCTTCCCTAGAGGCTGGGAAGCATAACTTCCTGCTAATTGGACGGTGAGAGCCTCACATCAGGACACAGAATCCGTGGAGTCCATGCATCACCCGCTTCCCATCATCGTGGTGTGACGCACACTGCCCTTTGTCCTGGGTGTTTGTGTTTTCACCACAATCCATAGAAACCATTGGGAACAAATAAATAAATTACCAAGCAATATGTTTTCCCAGGTATTACAGAATTGCCTTTTTAAAATGATTGAAAAGTCCCCATTATCACCACAACCACCCATTTGTGGCAGTGAGGATCTAATAAAAGGGTCTGATAATTAAAATGTACTTTCCCATGAAGTGCTTTGCTTAAAGGATGTATCTGTAAAAAGCAGGG